TCAGTTATGTCATGTAAAACTATTTTGGCAAAGGTCATACAACTACTCTGGGACTTCTGGTAAGTGTTAGAGCAAAGCATAAACAGAAGAGTTACTATTTTGAGAGAGAGAAAACATAAATAAATAAGTAAATAAATAAAAAGTTTCTGTAGCATGTGTGTTGTCTTCCCTTTGATTTAGGTGCTGAAATGAATGATTGCCTTCTTGGAAGTCAGCTTTTAGCTAGCACACTTCTCCACAATACCCTTTTTGCGGGAGTCACTTCAGATCTGGTCCTACATCAAGATGGCCCGTATGATTTTTACCAGTATCCTAATATTCAGCAGGTTAGACAGTGCCAGCCTGTGCTTGATAATTTTGCTAAAGAAGTAAACAAGTTACTGCAAGAATGGCCTGAACACCCTGCACTTGTGCAGGTAAGAATGTTGTAAGAAATGGTCAGGGCAAACCAGATGTGTGCATGCATGTATATTTTTGTATATACAGTACATGCATCTCTATATGCAATAGAATCACTTAAAATACATATTATAAAATAGTGTATGTTTCAGAGTAAGTAGTAATTTCCTTGTAAATTAAGGTAACTTACTAGCTACCTCTTAGCAATAGGATTCATTTGCATAACATTTAAGTATTCAGTTAGAAACACATGTGACCATTTCATGTTTCCATTTTGAGTTAGTTTACTGTGCTATAAAGATCCTGATGTCTCAGTGTTCATTCTGATCAAATGGGCTGCAGTTTTTCAGCATAAATTTCAAATAGCACTGAGGATCTTTTCCTTTATCCATCTGTTCTCCTTTGAGGGATTGGCATGACTCCCCTGGAGGGAGAGATTGTGTTGCTCCATTATGTTGCAAAACACTGTTTGAAAGCTTTATTTTTGGGGGTATGTTTTGATGCATTTTTCTGCTGAGCAGTATTGGCTTTTACTGAACTATTAGTGTCCTAAATCCTGAAAGAGTGCATTTTAAATTAGGTAACAATTCTTAAGTGTTTCAAAGAAGGGCAGCACTGATACAGATAAGCTTGAACTCAATATTGCAAGGCAGGGACCAGCTGTCATTGATTGAATATTTATTATTTGTCTTTCATCTTGTAGTTAATTGTTGTGATGGACAGAATCCGTAGTTTCCCATTGTCTAGTCCTCTCTCAAAGTTTCTGAATGGCTTAGAGATTCTGCTTGCAAAGTCACAGGTAAGAGGAAAAAGGGGGAAAAAGGAAGCTACTACAATTTCTTAAAGTTGCTATTAGGTCATTTTTTTTAAATCTTGGCTGTGGCAAGAGGCCGTGGCTTTTGCATTAGAGCTACAATAAAACCAATTTACACCATGTTGTGAAAATCCATAACTATATTACAAATGTATTCTTGGGGGTATGTAGCCTGCTTCATTCTCAGAGTATAAATAATGGGGGGAATCGTGTGTGACGCTTTCCCTGTGGCAAGTTCTCATCTTCCAGTTTATAAGGAGCAATTCATCTCTTCCAGGACTGGGAGAACAATGCCAGTCGAGCTTTATCTTTGCGGAAACACCTTGATTTGGTCACTCAGCTGATTATCCAGTGGCGTAAATTGGAGTTAAAGTAAGAGTTTTGAATTCTCTCTTGTTATTTCTTAAATATTACAACCTACTGTTTTCAAAGCTTAGGTTCTCTTCATTTCTACATGGCAACTTCCAAACTCCACATGATATGGAACATATTTTTCTATTGTTTGTGCTACCATGCTGGTACTTAGTGCTATTTCTTTTAAATTGTAATGGCAAGGTTATGAATCTAAGTGGTTAGTTGTGCATGATAATTATTTGTGAGTATGCGTGTGTGCACATGTATAAAATCTTTAGTTTGACAGAGAAGGAATGACATACATCCATTCTACTTCAAAGTTTTTTTATATATAGATACGCACTCTCACACTTGCTTTTGATTTCCCCCCTTCTCGTTTTTACAGCTGCTGGTCAGTTAGTCTTGACAATGTTATGAAGCGGCACTCAGAAAAATCCACAAGGCACTGGTTCTCAATCTATCAGATGATTGAGAAATACACGCAGGAGCAGACTCAGGTGAACACAGAAGGTAACTATTGTCCTGTTACAAATGTGTAATGCAACTCCATCACAGCTAAGTACTCAAAGATCTTAAATCCTTTTCTTTTGTAGAGATGCACAAGAATAAATTACATGATCACATATTTGTATTCAGATATTTTATTTTATATATTATATTTTATAAACTGCATTTCTCATATAAATACATATCTTTTTCCAAAATTCAGCTTCTGGGTATTGGAGAGCATATTATAATTAAGGAAATATAGTAACAGTCATATCTGCTGCTTCAGCCTCTGCCAGGGGAAAGCTACATGGGCTACTGGGTAGCTGCTTCCTTTCCCCTCTCCTCCAACACTATATTCCCATAGAGGCTTTTAAGGAAAGCTTTTTTTCTTCATTCTGCTTTTTTTATTCAGGGCCAAGTTGTATGTAATAAAATATGGTGCAGTTTTCTTACTTAAAGTATGTAAAAATGATAATGTTGTTGATAGAGGCAGGGAAAGGAAAAGAAATACTGTGTATCAGGTTCAACCACACTTTCATGCGGCTGATCTATCCTGTAGTAAGTGGAAGTTTAGCTGTGGTAATTTAGCAGTTTTTTCATTCAGGGGTAAACCACCCTTGTTTAGTTTCCATTTACTTCAGGGTAGCTTGAACACACAAAACAGTTACTCAAACCTAGCGTAAATTCTTTTCCCCCGCTTTAAACTCTGTATTTTTCCATCTCTGTATGCCATCTGCCTGCATATAGCCATCATAATGCTGCATTACACTACAGGCACCTTTTCTGTTCTACAACACCTTTAATAAATGTCCAGTTACTGTACAGGAAGAACTTAGAATGTCAGCAACCACCCAACCGCAGGCATGCAACATCTTTTTAAACTGGAGTCTGCAGTAACTTATGGTTGGGTTGACTAGGGACAGATCTGTCATGCACGCTCTTGCCATGATACTAAGGGGCTACACAATTGATGATGGCTTGGCTACGGGTTGGTTTGGAATGGCTGGTCATTCATTTATGAATTATTTAGAACTATCAAAAACATACCTGTAGTTGATCTCTGCAATCTGGATCTTATTTCTGCCTTTTTGTCCCATTTCTCTTCTATTCTTTGCTGCATGCAAACAAATTAGATCTTCTTTCAAATTAGAATACAAATTCTTTGGAGCAGGACCAGTCATCTTTGATACTAGAGAGAGCTCTGATCCCTCATTGGAAGTTACTACAGTAAAAAAAAAAAAAAAAAAACATTTTATTTGAAATATTCTTTTTTCTTCTTGTAAATCCCACCTGGGTGAAATCTACAGAAACCAGTGAGCCATTGAATTTAAGAGCACTGATCAACACTCTTCAGGCTTTCATTGAAGGATCCACTTTGGGGGAGTTTCATTCACGACTTCAGGCTCTCCTGGTTTTCCACTGCCATGTCTTGTTAATGCCTCAGGTGGAAGGAAAGGGTAAGTAGCTTCCCATCAAATGCATAAATGGAGCCTGTATTAGTCTTAGAGTATTTTCCACAATCTGTCCAAATTCCAGTTGAGAGTGCAACAAGGTAATTCATTGTCCTGGCCCCGGCCCTGTTTTTTACAAAGAGTGTTTCTATCAATGTTTCCAAGTTACATGATTGCTAACTGGATGCATCTCTGCTCTTGGTTTTAATCTTATCGTTCTGCTCTTCCAGATGCACTGTGCAGTGTATTGTGGAATCTGTACAATTATTATAAGCAGTTCTCAGAAGTTGTGCAGGCCCGGATCTCTGAACTTCGTCAGCCAATAGAAAAAGAGCTTAAGGTAAGAATAAAATATTTACTTAGGCAATGTGTTGAAGTGATCAGAGGAGTAGTGGAACAGATGTCACCTACTGAATTGCTTCACTGGTTACTATTATAGCCTTCCTTGCACTCCCACTGTGTGTGTGAAAATTAGCTGAAAGAGAGGGTTACTTGCAGCTTTTGTCTGGCACTAGTCAATTCTACTTAGCCAGAAAGTTTACTGCAGAATGAGTTCTGCATTCTCTCTGCATCACTCCCAGTTCAAATACCATATCTTAGCCAAGATAAGGTGAATATGTAACTACTTGCTCAGCTGCTGAATGTCTTGCTCATAATGCATCCGCTTTGGTAATCCCCTTTTAAAATCAAATATTGTACTGTTTTTAAAAATATTTCATGACCATTTCTTTTTCCTATTAGGGATTTGTGAAAATTTCTAAGTGGAATGATGTCAGCTTCTGGGCTATAAAACAGTCTGTAGAGAAGACACACAGGTAACACAGAAAGTTCGAAAGAAAGGGACCATTTTGGGATCCAGTGCAATGAATTGTATTTGCACATGCTGCATTTGTAACTTCCTACTAGCTGGATTCTGTTCAGTGCTGAGCTTAACTCACTAGGGTTTAATCTGTACCACATCATCTCAGAACCATATCTGCTTTCTGAAGCTAGGAAATTTTGAGAGAAGAATGCTTGATAATTCTGTACCTTTCTGTGGTAATCAGGACCCTCTTTAAATTCATGAAGAAGTTTGAAGCTGTTCTGGATGAGCCCTGTCAAGCTGCACTGGTAGAGAGCAACAAGGAAGAGCAGCTAGATTGCTTGCAGAAGCAGGAAGAGTTTGGGAACAATGAGAGTCAAATCCAGAGGCTTAACAGTGTATTGAGAAAAACTTTGTCTGCCAAAACAGAGGCGGTCCAGGTATGTGCCTTTGGTACCCTAAATACAAGCCAGATAAGTTCTATATTCTTATCCCCCTCCCTGCTTTGATGGAAGTGCATATTGATTAGAAATTCATTTTATTCCTCAGTGAAAACAGGCTAAACTACCTTGCATTCACTGTAGGATAAGTACATGTAGGCATTTACCATGGAGTAGCAGATGTGCCGTAACTTTGCACTCTAGCTTGCTCTGTGGTACCTAGCTGGTGTTGCCCACGCCCTGAGATACTTATGTTGTAATCTACCCAAAATATTGGTCTGAAATAATAGAAAGCTTGATTGGGCCACACAATCATCCCTTATTCTACTTTTTAATTGGTTAATATGCTGTGGATAATAGATAGGAAAGCTGTGTTCAGCTTTCAACAGAATGTGAAGTGTTACACATTCGGCTTTTTCGGCAAGTTGCTGTGGCTTAAGTGGAGCTGTCTCTGTCATATACCTTCAGGCTATTTTTCTTCTATTTTCTTAGACTGTGCTTTCAGAAGAGTGTCAGAGTAGAGTTATGTTTCATGCAGAATCACTTCAATATCGCCTGCCTAAGCTCACAAAGCGAATGAAGAAGATGTGTGCAGCTCTTATGGATAAGAGTTCATTCTCAGATTTAGTAGAGAATCTTGACCAGTTTACAGGTGCGTATAGGACTCAACTGTATTTAAAACCCTTCCCAAACAACACATCCATAATTAGTTAATCTACTAGCCAATTGCCCGTCAAGAATGGCAGGTGGGGACAGAGGGCCCCACCCCCCTAGGCCTGCTCCCCCTTCCCTCCTGCTGTTTGTCAGCCAGTCAGAGCCCAAATAAAGCATTACAGCTGGACAGACACACACAGACTTAGGCTTTTATAATATTAGAATGTTGTGGTTTCCTGTGTCTTCCCTTCTTTCACTGCCTTTTTTGTAGGTGATGTCATTGTCTCTGTACTTGAGCTGCAAAACTTAACATTTAATCAGGCTGCAGAGAAGGAAAAGCAGAAGTCAGAAGTCAAACATATTCATATGCAGAAACAACGGGCCTTATCTGATCTGTTTAAAAGCCTTGCTAAAACAGGTGAGATTTAATTACAGTGTATTTGGTTTAAAAATACAGAAGATGTAGGACAGAATATTTTTGTTTACAAACACACCTCTACAGCCGTATTAATTTCTGTCTCTAAACTTTGAGATTGCAAAGTACATAATATTTCAATAGTACGTAAACCTGTGGTCAATTGATCAGGATCTGTGCTTATCAAAGCTAAGAGTAGATTAAATTTTTTGACAGTCAAGATTGTTAGAAAAGTTTTTTCCATTCATCTTGCATTATATCACAAGTAAAGAAAGTCTTATTTAAAAGTAGTGATCCACAATAACTCCAGCCAAGGACCGTTGCCTTACTTTGGAAGTGGAAGGGAGCTCCCTAACTTGTACCCATTAATGGATTCAGAGCAGATGCAAAACGAACTGGATTTCCATCTGGCCGCTAATAGGACTGATCAATCATCCAGCTTGAACATTGTCCTTGGTTTTATTTAACCAATAAGTGCATGTCTTTTGGCTGCTGGTTTTCTAGTTTAGCTTTGCCATTTCTACTAAGCCACTTCGCATCAAACCCCGGTTAACATCTGCTTGTCTTTATTGAGTTCGTGTTAGCTTCTTAAAGCAGTTAATTTGTGATTTGTTCAAAGGGCTGTTCAGAAATATCTGAATCCTTGTCTTTGTTTGAATATTTGGTACTGTCTGGATCACAGACCGTATATCAAACTACAGGAGCCTAAAGAGATGGTAAATGTGTTCTGAATGTCATCATAGGTTTGTCATACCGGAAGGGTCTTGCTTGGTCCCGTTCAAAAGCCTCTCAAGATATGCTTTGCCTGCATCCGCTGGATCTGCACAGTGCATTAGCCATAGTCAACTGTGTACAGGAACTGGATGCCACGTATGTATTTTATCAGAAACTTTGTACTTCCTGTAGTAACTCCTCCCATTATCATCATTAATAGATGTAGAGGTACAGTACAACAGCATTATTAGGAAACCCATGGGACTGGAAGAAAGAGTCATTAAAAGAGATTGTTTGCTATAATAGGATTAGTCGGTTTACTGCATTGTAAGTAATGAAAGAATGGGTATTTGCTGTTAAGATTGTTATAAGGAAAGGTTTGTATTAAGCAGTGTGTTACACTGAGGTTGTGCTGTACATATTTTTCAATAGATTGGGTTTTTGGCAGTTTTTGATGTACAGTGAATTTTGTTGTTCCTGTGTAATCAGTTAATTCCTCCCCTTCTGAGAACTTTTCTAACATGGGAGCAAAAGAGCACTCTGCTCTGATCTTCATAGACAGCGTGAATACCATCTAGTCCCAGATTTTGTAGTCAACACTAGGCTAGGAAATGTTTCAGTGGAAAGACTAAGGATCCCTAGGCAATCAGTTATACAATAACCTACTTATAAAGGAAGTACCTTCCTGTCAGAACCCTCAATCACAGGTGTTTTTATGCCCTGAACCGTTCAAGTTGTTACTTGCTTATAATCATACCTTCTGGACAAAACTTATTTAAACTTTCCTTAACTGGAAACATGATTTAGGCACTTTTTAACGAGTCATTTTCAGTGGCCTTTGAGATTGTTCAGCAATTTCAGAACGTGACATTGCAGTCAGTTGGATCCTTCCTATTTCTCAGCTAACAAATCTTTCAGTAGGTTTTGGAAATAACTTTTTCTTAAAGGTGTCATGGGTAGCCTGAAGAGCTTTGGAAGTATTCTTGTTAAAGAAGCATAAAAAGTTATACAGCTGAATATGCACATATTTATCG